AGCTACTCCCCTGAGGGTGATGGACTGATTCCTTTAATTAGAGCCGAACATGCAAGCTGATGCAAAGCTTGTTAATGTGGGTGGAAAGGGGGCCTCTGAGCCAGCAGGCAACATGCCTCCCAACCAAAACAGAAGGACGTCAACAGTGAGTGGTGGGTGCAGAGTCCAAGAGTGGCACCCTGCTGGAAAAATGGCCCTTTGCAAAGCGACATGGGTAAACTGACAGATTGCTGCCCCGAGGACCTTGCAATCTGGAAATGTGGCAGTGGAGGAGGCAATGAAGGAAGGCAAGCAAAGGCTGGGGGAAGCAGCAGCAACAGGGAGCTAGCGGAGTTACATGCAGAGGAAGGAGCTTTGTGCATACTGGGGAGGAGAGTTTAAAAGGAGGCATTTAAACGGCGTCTGTTCTGGGAAGACCAAAGGGAGCAGGGCATGGCTGGGTGGCTTAGAGGGGGAGAGGGGGAAGGCGGCAACACTGTGCCACAAATTGCCCTAAGCCAGGCAGTGGGGAAGGCAGACACTCTCATCAGGGTGCCTACCTATTTCTTCCTGCTGTGTGTGTGTGTGTGTGTGTGTGTGTGTAAACTGATATAGCATAAGGTGCTATCAGTCTCCAGCATGCACACTCGCTCTCCCCCTCTCTCAGAAATAGGGATGCATGAAAGCTGGTTTCTCTCGGGTTCTCATTTTTCCACCCTTTCACTTCAAGTCTCCGCATTTCCATATCAGTTTGCATTTTTTTAAAAAAATAAAAAAATAACCCTCATGAAAATCAACCAGCATTTTTTAGTGCCCATTTCCTCTGATATACACATTTTCCTATGCAATTTTGCATAATATACACAATTTTGCAAAGTGATTTCCTCTGAGAGAATCCATTTTTGAATCTTATTTTCTCTTACATTTTGAATGCACACTCTATGCTGCTATATGCATTTTTGTCCACTTTGCTCAGCTAGAGAACGGCAGCACAAAATTTGGAGAAGTGCAAATTTCGAAGGGTGGCTGCATTTCGGTTTGCATATTGTTTGGGAAAGTGTGGATTAGGGTAGGTCCGCCTTTAAATGTGAACTGCATCAAATTCCTCCACCAAACCTAGGGCTCAGAAGTAAAATACAAGGCTGCTTCTACAATGCCCTACTCCCTCCCCCCACGAACTGTGGAGCCTTGAAAATCTCTGTGCTTGGTGCTTTCCTCTTTTAGAAATCAACTTCTTGGGAAAGGGGTGGAGTGCGTTCTAAACCCCCCCCCCCACCTTGGCTGCTGGCTCCAGCTACACCCACCCATGGCTTGCTGGAGGCCTAAGATTATGGTGCCTCTGGCCCCATTTGCTGCTCAGTGGTTTTCAGAGCAGTTTCCTCTGTCCTTTCGAGAACAAAAGGCCAGGCTGCCAGGGGGGCTTTGTCCTCTCAAAGTGGCAGGGGGACAAGGTGGTTCAGCATCCATCCCCATCCATCATTCCTTCCCACGGCCTCTGCGTGACTCCAGGTCCAAATAAATGGCAGGATTTTTGTGTGCACCTTTGTCACTAAGGCACTCTGGAGAGTGCTTTCAGTCCTTGCTAAAAAACCCATAAAGTTGGCACGCTATTATTCTCCATGTGGGAGCCCCACAGAGAGGAGTGCAAAAAAGAATTCTCTGAATAGCAAAGTGCACGAGGAAGGCGGGAAACCCTTTTATATCTACACCTCCACTTCCAAGAAGGAAACAAGGACCCCCACAGCCCCGAGAGGAGGAAAGAGAATGAGAGCGAGAGAGGGGTGGTCAGGTTCCAGCTCTTGAGAGAGTGAGCGAGTGAATAGAGATCAGAAAACTTAGCAACAGAACTGCAGGTCATGTTCTTACGCCTCTCATTTCTGCAGAAAAGGTCACGGCACAGGGAACAGAAAGCTGCCACGATGGCATCTTGACATTTAGAGCTTCCTGGCAGGTTCCACTAAGCGATGCCTGGAAGTAGACAATGGCAGCCCAGCCCAGCCCACTTAGCTATAGCTTCAAATGGCTGGAGGGACATCCAGGCCAGGGGCCCAGCCTAGAGGTGGTGGCACTTTGGCACAGGAGCTTGGTCTTTGCAGCCAAACTGGTGAAGAATCATCCCCACCTCGGTGTGGAATTGCCACCTGTTTCTTTGATAACTCCAGAATTGGGCATCTCGCCATGTCTATGGAACATCTGTAAGCAGGCTCGTCGTTCAGATTGGGAAGTGGTAACTAGCAGGGCAGCAGGGCGCCTCTGATTTGAGGTTCCTTTGGCTAATCTGTATTAAGCCATTGAAAAGTCCTCCCTGAATTTCCCCAGTTGGTAAGTGTGTGAGCTGATGCAGGATCCCTTGGTTCAAATCTCATCTTAAACTTCGGTGCCCTTATCTAAGGCCCTGTTTCCTCAAGTTCCCCCAGATCTGGACACTCTTCACCCTCACAGGTCTCTTGCAAGGATGACTACATATGGGAAGCACTTTGAGCCCACAGCAAATGGGGTGTGTGTGTGTGTGTGTGCGCGCGCGCGTGCGTGCGCGTGCAAAATAAAAGTAAGCTTTTAGGGTGCTTCCTATGGCTGCCTAGAACCATGAATGAATGCATAGTATGCCTGTTCATTTGCAGAAAAAAAAGGAAAACAAAAGGCAGGCATCTGGAGACTGCAGGCTTTGAAACCTCCAAATCTCCTGGGTGGGAGGGCTTTTGACTTCTCTCTTGGACTGCGTGGGTGCTAGTGTGTGTTCGCATGAGTGTTGTGTGTCTGTATGAATAGAGTGTGTGGGAAGGTGAAGTGCAAATGGGCGCAACGCAAGTTCCACAATGAGTGCACCACCATCCGTGGCTCTCGCTTGCTGCTAAAAAGCTTTCGGCATCCCTTGACCCTTCTGGAAAGGCTCTGCAGTCTTTAAGCTTTTTACAATGTCAGGGGTGCACCCTGCAGAACGGGAACAAAGTGACCTACAAACTCCTCACTGCCTGGCCTTGATACAAATTCCGCTGTGCTCCCTTGCTGCTTTTACCGTAAGTGCAGCTTAGGAAGCCCCAGAGCTCAAAGGCTCTCAACTGCAGCCAGGAAGGTTGCTGCTTTTTGGCCCTTCAGAGCGGCCAGCGGGGATGGGAGCTGAGCTCCCGTGCTGGTTGCCCTTGGGAGAGCTCAGCTGCAACAGCAGGATGCAGCTGCAGTCATGCCGAGACTGCAAGACTGTGCCCGCTTGTCCTGGGAGGAGTAAGCCCCACTGAACTCATTGGGACTTACTCAGAGTAAGCATGTGCAGGATTGTGCTGTGAATCCCTTTTGTCTGCTTTTTGCATGCCAAAGGAGCAGCTGCTAAATTGACACCCATCCATCTAGTTGGCTGTTCAGAGAAGACTTAAGTTCTAATCCACGATTATTTATTTTTAAAAGTAATGCTTTAAAAGTAAAGCTTAAGGCAGTGATGAGACAGCTGTAGCAGAAATGGACATGCTCATCCTATAACTAGATATGTGCTTTCTTTTTCCTTTTTCTAAGAACCTTGTATTCCTCCCGAATCCCAAAGAGTAGCTATGATCAAAAACAGTGACAGGCTCTAGGTAAGCGAATGGGCCACTGGCTAGTTTCTTGCTGGCCTCCTCACACCTGCTGGGAATCTTGCAGACCCTGTTAAGTAACAGGCTCCAAATTTACTGGCTTGCTTTTCACTTGGGATTGGGCTTTCCAATGGCAACTAAATATCTTGCTCCAGTATAATTTTGGAATTAGAGCAATGCAGTTAGTGAGAGAGAGAGGAAGAAGATATCTTCTTACTTGCTTCCCTTTGCCCACCCCCTCTTGTGAGATTTCTCAAGTGAGTTTTCCTGTCTCCGGGTGAATTCACTTGTCTCTCTACATCTCAGGACCCACCCATATCTCATCCTTATGCATATTGTGAATCCCTTGTGCCTCCTTGCCCGTGTGACGTTCTTATCCAGCTATTGCTGTCCCACACTTTCTCTTCTCTAAATCCAGAGATCCCCTTTGCTTTGAAAATTCATATAGGAGAGCCGCATCAATTGCATATAGGGACTCTCTGGATATATGGAGGGGAAAGCTTGGGACAGTAACAGTTAGAGGGGAGCGCCACATAGACGAAATCCACAGTAAGATGAGGTATGGAAAGCCCATAATCTTACCTATTTCTTAGGACCATTGTGAGGCTAAATGTACACAAAACAGCCTTTGCCTGCATTCCCTCCTTTCCCTAGGGCATATTCTAATGTGTTAAACTAGTGTGTTTTTCCTAGCGCCTATCTGGTTAGGGGCTTATCTGTGCTGCATATGTAGATCCATGCACACACACAGGCAGAGTCTTCATTACCATTATTCCTGCATAATTCTTCTTCTTCATTCAAAGCATGCTGCCTACATTCTCCCAATCTTTTAAGGTGTTGTTGTAAGACTGGCAGGGGTCTGTGCAGGAGAAGGCTAATGGATCCAGAGGTCTTGCTGGAGTGTCTCTTAACAGACCTGGGCAAAATTGCCAGATGCATCATTTATTAGGGAGACTACAGGTGATGTGTTTCCATGGGAGTTAATTGTGCAGTGATTGCTTCTTGATACAGATCCACTGCTACTGGTAAGAAGCATTGCAATGCATGGCCTCTAAATACTAAGGTTCCATTTAGCTGTAAGGGCTACTAGCTATCCAGACATGTTGCCTCCACAAATTTCCCTTCTGCATTTTTCCAAACCACCCCAGTATGAGCAACCATCAGCTCTTCTTCAGGTGGGAGTGAGTGCCTAATAATAATACTGCCCTCCAGCAAAGGAACACAGGGTGGTTTATAACATAAAAACACAAAAATGCTTAACATAGTAACAAATAACAACAACCCCCCCCCCCGCAGTTTAAAAAGCCATAGATTGTTGTTGTTATTTATTATGTTTCTTCTGACAGTCAATTCCATTAGCTAATCATGTGTGGTGTGAAGAAGTCCTTCCAGCTTCCTTCTCTCCTGCTAAGCATCTTCTCCATTCATGTGATGTGAATCTCCCTCTCCTTGCAGACAGCCCCTCCGCTCCAGTCAATGTCACAGTCAAGCTCCTGAAAGCCAACTCAGCTGTTGTGACCTGGGACGTCCTGGAAGAAGAGGTGGTCATAGGATTTGCCATCTCCCAGCAGGTAGGTGGCAAAATCCCTTCCCTTAAAACTGGACTTTTTGCAAGATCAGAATGGAGGTTCAATAAACAGCCAATGTTGTCTAACCTATCAGCAACTTTGTGCAGTTGAATCAGTAAAGAGGTTGTCTGGAAGCAACCTCAGATTCAGAATTGTTTCTTTGCATCTAGTCATCAGATCTTAAAATAAGAATTTAACAATGGGATCTACATATCCTTATGAAAGTAGCACTAGTTGACAAAAAAATAAAATAAATAATATTCTGCCTATCCCTGGCAAATCACAGCATTCCCTTTCAGTTCCTATTTTTAACAGATGTAAAAATAAAAGATATACACAAACCTGAATAAATTTATATGAAACCTGAACAAACTGTTACAGTAATTAAGAGGCTGATGCAACTCACTGCCTAAAGAATTTCCTTGTCAATCAAATTTCAGAAAGATGCAATGACTCTCTCTTCCCTCCTTCCATTCAGACATTCCCCTGTCATCAGAATTTAAAGGTCTTCTGACACCTTGTCCTGTGAGCAAAAACAAGTTATTTCAAAGCAGCAAGCAAATGATTGGGACCAGTGGCATAAGAAGGGGTGTGCGGTGGGGCAGTTCGCTCTGGGTGCCACAAATGAGGGGGGTGACAAACTGGAGAAAATAAGTATTTTAAAAATAAACTTATTGTAGCACCTCTCCGAGAGGTTGGCGGGGCTCCCCGGGTCCCAGATGCCACCCTCCTTGCCTTGGGACCTTCGTCCAGCCCACAAACCAGCTGGCCAATGGGCTGTGGCTGGGGGCAGGGCGAAGGAAAGGAAAGGGCTGATGCTGCCAAGGCCGGCTTCCTTAGCCCCCCGCCAGCAGCAGTTGGGTTTTTTGGGCCACTGCGGCGGCCTCTGTAGGCTGCTGCTTCCTGTTTCAACCACCCTGATAAGAGGAGAGGAGAGAGTGATCAAAAGCAGTCACTAAACTGTGTCTCAGTGAGCTCTTGCAAAAACATAGGAACCAAAAGCAGCTGGGAGGCAGGTCCTTGAACCAGTGGCCTTAGCCCCTGACAACAGCGGTTGGGCTCCAGGGCGCGCGGGCACTGCAGATGACCTCCTGGGTTGTTAAGCCAAAGCTGTTTATGCTCACAATGTTCAGTAAATGAATAAGAAAATAACACTTGTGACTCTTCGTATCTTATTTTTCCTTCTTTTAATAATCTGAATGTGGGGGGGGGGTAGTGACAAGGAATTTTCCGCACCGGGTACCACCTGACCTTGCTACGCCTCTGATTGGGACAGGCTTTGGTTTAAACCATGGGACCTGCTGCTGCCATTTCTCATTTGGCCCTTTGGAATATGTGGGTGTTTTGCTTTCTCCCCCTGCAGAAGAAGGATGTCAGGATGCTGCGCTTCATCCAGGAGGTGAACACCACCACCCGCTCGTGCTCCCTCTGGGACCTGGAGGAGGACACCGAGTACATTGTGCACGTCCAGTCCATCAGCATCCAGGGCCAGAGTCCAGCCAGCGAACCAGTCCACTTCAAGACCCCCAGGGAAGCGGAGAAACTGGCTTCCAAAAACAAAGGCAAGTCAGGAGGAGGCTGTGGGCCCCGGGAGGTGGGAGACAAGGGACACTGTTTGCAGTAGGGCAGCGAAGTGGAGCTGCAAGTGGCAAAGGGACCCCACTGAGCCACTGCTGTCAGCTGGGATGGAGTACCAGAAGAAGGTGAGAGCCAGTAGGAGATAATTCTCATTTTGTGCACCCTGCCTCTTCCAGGGGGAGGGTGTCCACTGCTGTGGCCCCTTCCTCCAGGGCCCTCTAGCTGGTCAGATGAACATCCTTCTTTCAGCATAGCTGGGAAGTGGAAGCAAGCAGCTGGAAGGCCTAAACTGGGGCTGTGCAACATTTGCTGCTGCTGCCAACCCCTCTGCCCAAGAGGGAATGCATCAGCCCTGCCTTGCAACCTGCCAGGTGCACAATACAGCCCTTGGGTTACTGGGCCTTTTCAAGCACCTGCCCAGCTGGAACAGAAGGCGAATCTGTTGCGTGTGTATTGGGGGGTGGGCTCTGCTTTGTGTGGATTTGTGCAAAAGGGCTAGGGAGGTATACACCCACATCAGGCACCACAGCAGCCTTTCCAGGTTTGCAAAAATCAGTTTGGTGGCTGGGAAAACAGCAAGGAGGAACAGAATAGTGCGCGGGGGCAGGGGGGGCGGGATGACGGCGACTGACCTAGCACCCAGCAAGGCAGAAGGGGGTAGAAGTTGCTCATCACTCAAGTGTGAGAAAACCTTGAACATTCTGAAATCCTCTGGGTTGTACCAAAATAAGGTTTACTCAGTGCAGACCCAGTAAAATGAAAGGATATGAATGACGTAGGGCCAGTAAGGGGTCTACTCTGAGTTAGGACAGGATGACCACTCACATCGCTCAAAAAGAGGACACAGATCTGCTTTTGTTTGTTTATACACATGTAGAAATAATGACTATGAATTAAATAGAAGCACAGCATATCTTCTCATAGCTGGGGAGACCTTGACCAGGTCCCTTGTGAGGGAGGGGCTGAGGGTGCCATGGTTTGTTTCTCCAAGCTGAGAGGTGTCTATCTAAAAAGCCTCTGCAATGCCACAGGATGCTGCCGCCTGGGGCTGATGGAAGGTGTGGTCCAAAATGCCTGGACACCACCAGGTTGGCAAAGGCTGCTATCAGAGGCTCTGAGGTACATTGGGGGAAGCCACATGGTCCTCTCACCTAGGGATACCTTGCATACTTGAAAGCTGTGCTTCACAAGTCAACTCTTTGCCCAATTCTTTGCTTAGGGTAATAAAAATCTGCGGGTATGTTTGGAATGGAGCTAAGGTCCACCTGCCATCTCTCTCTCTCTCTCTTCCCCCATCCTGTGCAGATGAGGTGACGATGAAGGAGATGGGAGAGAAAAACCAGCAGCTGCGAGCTGGGGAGATCCTCATCATTGTTGTGGTCTTGTTCATGTGGGCAGGTCAGTAAGAGTCCCCTAAATGCATGCAGAATAAATGCATGTATTGGGGGGGTTGGACAGAGAATTTTGTGCACACAAAAAGACCCTGAAGACATGTGCACAGGTGGACATAACTGGGCAATCATTTTCACAATATATCCTCGTCTGTGTGCATGGGATGCTTTAAAAAGTACAAGAGGAGAGGCCACTGCCGCAGTTATGTTTCCAGTCTAAAAGTGAACACAGATCAGACAGCAGTGGAAAGAGGGCAGAGGGAGGGATGAATGAGGAAGAATATGCAGTTATTTGGGTTACATGTGCTTGGGTTTGACTATAATCAAGTATGGAGATTATTAGAATTTTACCAACTTTAGCCCAGCTTGCACACATGTATGGTTGTTATCTTTCTAGATTTTGTTGTGTTTCCAATGTGCTCTTATCCAGCTTGTTTCCTGGGGTGGATCTAAACACAGGGGGGGAAACGCTATAAAAAAAGTCAGAAGTTAGATTGTTAAAACAAAAGAAAAAAAAATCTCTATGGAAAATTGCGTTTTAAAATTTCCTGCTCTCTGTCACCATCTGGTGCACACTCAAATAGCTATTTCTTTAGCTGAGAAACAGCTGAGTCCCTGGGGGTAGGACTTGTTAGGAACTGAAATAATTTCAAAATAGCCACTCGCCTCCCTGGATAGTCCCCAGTGCCACAAGACTCTTTTGCCTTTATTTGTCCCATCAGAGGCTTGAAAATTGCCAGCCAGTCAAGATTTCTCACTACGGTATGTGCCTTCTCTGAAATGCTGAAGAAGTCTAAAAAGACAAATCAAGTGTAAATCACCCTGTGTATGCCTTGCAATCCGCTCCTGTTTCTCTGTGTTATTAGTATTTTTTACTAGAGTGCCTGTTTAACTACCCCCTGTTAAAATGACAGAATTGTTAAAACAATAAATGGCCTGAAGCATTATTAGAGCATAAACCAGCAGAATGGCAGTAAGCCCCAATCCTCTTAAAATCTACTACCAGGAATTGAGGGGCAGGGCAGGCGTGGAGAGACAAAAAGAAAACTTTCCTGTAAGCAAAACTGCTCCCTCTGTTATAGAAACATAGAACTGTAGGTGTTGATGTGTGACCAGTTTATGAGGAAACAAGGATCCACACCGTACATTCAAAGCACATCCAAACACATGTAAAACACATGTAAAACACAGAACATCCCGCAAAGAACCCTGGGAATTTGATAAGGAGGGAATCGCAGGTCTGCAAGGGAGAACCATGCTTCCCAGGTTTGAGGAATGCGACGTGCTTTAAATGTGTGTTGAATCTAAGGCCTGCTTTTGGAATTAAGATTAACCTGCAATACTGGGCTTTTCTTTTTAGACTTCTTAAGAGATGTCATAAGGAAAGACTACATATGGAAGAGTTAGAGGGGCAACTCCCCACCATCCCATAATGGTTCCTGCTCTGTCAAAATAAATAAAAGAGTCTAGTTTATAGTCTCCATAAATATTCAAGCCCCTTCTGCTATAATTCTGCAAGTTTGCCAGCGGGTTGTTGCCAGTGTGAGTCATTTGTAAAAACAGAAGGCTTGGACGTGCCTTGAACTCATATCTTCACATTATTACCCCCTATAAACCCAGATGTGTGGTGTAGGTGTGTAGCACCCTGCTTGTGGTTAACGCTTAGCTGGAATGAAATATTCAACACAGCAATAGAGAAATTAAAATAATAATTTATTTGTCAGACAAATAAATGATAGGCACAGTGGTATATGGTTACCAAAAGCTCTGCCCACTCCAGCCCTGATGGCCAGCACTTATATTTCCTCAGCCCAGCCCCCTTGCTCCTCCTTTGGCTGCCTCTGTCCAATCAGCCTGGTTGAAATTCCTATTGGCTGTTTGCTAGAACCAATCATAAAATATACACCCATTTCCTATTACCTTTTATGGGAGACAAAGAGCTGTATTTCCTTCTATCCATAAATGGCAGACAAGTAGCCATATATCTTACATTTGCCTCGACAAGGCACCTTAATTACCAGATCATCTTTGCCCTATTGCCCTATTCACTGCAAAACAGATGGCTAAAACAGATGGCTCATGGTAACAGAGATTTTGGGTTCACCTTCTCACACACCATCAATGAAATAAGAATCTAACATAAGAATCTAACATTTCTTACTTTCTAAATCCTTTGCATACTTACATTTAAGCCAATATATTTCATACATTAACATATATAGCTTTTTAGAACTGAAAAGGAACTTAGTAAAAAACAGTTTCCAAAAGCAACCCCTTAAATTTACACCCCCCCTTTCAAGCCAGCTGCTGTTCCTATTTCAAGCCAGCTGCTGTTCCTATTAGCTCTTGCCCTTTAACCTTAGGAAGATGTGGCTCGAATCTGATGGGAGGCACAATAATTCTTACTATTTACCAACTCTTAATTAGTGTTTTTGCAGCTTGATTGTATTCTGTAATATGTATGGCCAGTATGACCTTTTGCTCCTAGCCTGTAATTTTCCTTTTACAACTTTGAAGTACTGCTATAAATCAGTGGGGCCCTGTTCAAGAGGATAAACAACTGCCAAAGTACTCAGCCAGCTGCTTTTCTGCCTGGCATGAAAGATACAAACATTTGCAAATATATCTTTTTAAGCTCATTTTAAAATACAGATCTTGATCAGATGCCTCAGGTGAGGAAGCCTGTACTTTCTGCACATGCCCAGAGACTCCTGTTCTTTATTGTCTCTCTTCTTCCATCCGTCTCAACTGCTCTGTATATTTAGGTGTATTTGCACATATTGACGAATAATTCCCAGAGCCAATGCAGAGCAGTGTCTAAGGCCGTTTCCCATACAGTCACTGTTTACGGGTGGGATTCTGTCACATCAGGCTGCACAATTAAATCTGATCTGGAGCTCTTGTGAAACAAAACCTCCCCTCCACCTGGACAGATTGGATGGGATAAGGACCATGATAGGGAAAGGCACTGGAAAGAGGAGGATAACAAGGTGGATTATCATTCAATAGCTGCCACCGCCTAATCTCTCTGCACACAAGCCAGGCTGAATGCTCATTAAGCAGGCTGCATGGAACTGACTTAAGGGGGTGAGCGATAAGCCCCCAGTTTAAATACTGCCTTGGCCATGAACAAATTCTTACTCTCAACATCAGCCCACCTTCCATCTGCAGAATGGGCATAAATATAAGCAGTGCTTTTCTCCAGGGGATACTCAAAGGTGCGTGGTACCGGCACTTTCCCCCATTGTTGTTAAAAAGTGTGACACATACTGTAACAACTTCATGGTGAGTACCGGCACCTATTTTTCTAGGGGGGAAAGCGCTGAATATCAGGCTGTTTTACCTCCTCAGCCAAAAATAAATAAATGTTCCCTGAGCAAATCAGCTTACAAAGATCAATCATAAAAGTCCTATTATTATTATTAATATTATTATTTACATTTCTATCCCACTTATCCAGGGTGCAATAAGGTCATTGGAGACTGCAGTGTCTTTAGGATATATGGTTTTATTTACATATATATACAACCTGAGTATAGGATGGAGGTGCCCACAGCCAGATGGGTGGAGTATAAATATATTATTATTATTATTATTATTATTATTATTATTATTATTATTATATTAATTAATTAACACTTCCATAGATCTTGCCTCTCCTTTAGGTTTCCAGGGAAGCCCCAAGCCACAGCTTTGGGTTCAGCACAGAACAAGACAAGCCTCTCTGTCCAGCTTCCAGCCCAGCCAAACTCACCCCCACACGGCCCCGCTTGGCCTATTGTTTTCCATCCTAGGATGACCCTGGCATCCAGACAGGAGAGGTGGGGAAAGGCCCACCCATTTGTTTCTATGGCAAGGGAGCTTGCTGTTTTCAGATGCAAATGCAGGATACTGAGCTGAGCAGCTAAGGCCATTACACTGACAAAGGGACTGGTCTGACCAGTTCTGCAAGCTTCCTCCTATAGTTTCCATCCCACCCCCACCCCCAAATAAAAGGACTTTTGCAGTAAGGAAAGTGATGAGAAAATGTGCTGGAAAGTGTGGAATAACAATTGCTTGTTGTGCTCTTGTATACCACTCCCACAAACGGCTCACTTAAGAATGGATATTGCAAAACCTACAGTACTTGCCTACAAGTCGGGAGGTTCAATAATGTTGAAGGTTTCAGGAAGAAGTCAGTCTGGGTGGTAGACATACAGTAGGTTCCTTCAGATCTGTGATCTTGTGTATGAGAGGCTAAAATCTATAAGAGGAAGCCTGTCAGACCAGTTTGTTTGTCAAGATGATGGCCTGGGCTGCTCAGCCAAGTGCCCATCATCTGTATCTCAACAATGAGCTCTGTTGCCATGGAGACAAGTGGGGGGCTTTCCCCTCCCTCACTGGGCTGGATGTCACATCACCTTAGGATGAGAGGGGTAGGGTTGCATGTAACAATAAATTGGTCAGCTCGGTAAGATAGTCCAATGGGATTCTTTTCATCATCTCCCCAGTATTGCAGAGGTTGAGGCCAAGAGAGAGGAAGGGGTGTTTGGACCCACAGTGCTCTCACTCCCAGTTGTAGTACAGCAACCCAGCTCCCTGCTAGCTTCACCTGTCCCTGGCATTTTGAAAGCAAGCTCTGAGGTGGCTCCTCTTCATGCCCAGTGGCGTAGCGTGGGTTGTCAGCACCCGGGGCAAGACAAGGAATTTGCGCCCCCTAACCCGTGGATTTGTGCCCCCTAACCCTAACCCCAGATGTTGCGCCCAGTGCGGCCGGCCCCCCCTGCACCCCCCACGCTACGCCACTGTTCATGCCGCTTCTGCATTGCCTTCTCCTGCCAGCTGGGACTTGCCAAGCACGAGCTAATGCAAAAGGCAGCTCAGGCTTGTTTGCTTTCTGTGCTCAGCCCCCTAGCTCCATCGACAGCTGCTTTTGCCCCTTCTGCAGTATGAAACATTTATGAAAAGCAGAAACGCTCTGCCAGGGAGCTTTGCAATTGCTTTCGCTGGAAGCACAGGGGAAGGAGGGCCGTTTCAGGTGAAGCAAGCAGGCCAGCAAATCAATGAGACAGCAAACGGGATATTCTATGTCCTTCTCTAGGGACGAATTTCGCCTCTCCCTTCCTACTCTCCAGCTTCCTGGCCAAAGGACTTTCTGGTTTCTTGTAGACAAGGGGTGCACAGAGGAGTACAAAACAAAGCTGTTGAACAGCCAGCCCTACAGAAGTAGCTTTGCAAGCTGACATATTCTGCAATAACTTATTAATTGCTTTATGTTGAGAGCTTAGGCAGAAGGAACAAAATCTAAGGCTCCCCCTTCCATTCCTATCAGCCTTCCATTTATTTGGTATTATAGGGGTTTCCGTGGGATGCGGGTGGCGCTGTGGGTTAAAGCCTCAGCGCCTAGGGCTTGCCGATCGAAAGGTCGGTGGTTCGAATCCCCGCGACGGGGTGCACTCCCAGCGCCTGCCAACCTAGCAGTTCGAAAGCACCTTCGGGTGCAAGTAGATAAATAGGGACCGCTTACCAGCGGGAAGGTAAACGGCGTTCCGTGTGCTGTGCTGGCTCGCCAGATGCAGCTTGTCACGCTGGCCACATGACCCGGAAGTGTCTGCGGACAGCGCTGGCTCCCGGCCTATAGAGTGAGATGAGCGCACAACCCTAGAGTCTGTCAAGACTGGCCCGTACGGACAGGGGTACCTTTACCTTTACCTTATAGGGGTTTCCAAATGAGATGGTCTGGCTTCCAGGCCGGCTCGCCATCACTTCAATCCAGAGCTGATAGGCGACTGCATAAATTTCATGGGAGGGAACATGCTTATTGGAATGGAATACTTCCCTGGATAGCTCAGCTGGTAGAACACGAGACTCTTAATCTCAGGGTTGTGGGTTTGAGCCCCATGTTGGGCCAAAAGACTCCTGCATTGCAGGGGGCTGGACCAGATGACCCTCGTGGTCCCTTCCAATGTTAGGATTCTCTGATTCTCTGAACACAATACTCCACTTTTGCAGGGATGTTTTGAGCTGATCCTACACAATCTTGGTGCAACCTGCTCTTGGACTACAGCTCCCATCAGTCCTAGCATCATGTGACGCCTGTTGGGACTGATGGGAATTGTAGGCCAAAACCTCTGACCTGATGCAGCAGGGTGAGGAAGGCTGCTCTATCCCCTGAACTGAGTTGCAGGGCTATATGATTTGGCCATGTTAATCTCTCCAAAAAAGCCTTCCTCAAAGAGGAGAACCAGCACCAAGGCTTCGGTTACAAGCACAAGGCAGCATTTCCTCTTGAATCTAGTCTTTACCAAGAGCGTAGAAACGTGTCCTCTTTTCGGAGCGTGTTACGGGGGCAGAGATGGGTCATTTGCACTGCTGCCCTTTCCTGCTACAGCCGTCACATCATGTTTGCAACGCGCAAGCAGAAAGCCTGCCAATTGAAGCACACTAAAGCACGGAGGCTGTTGTGGGAAATGCTGCCATCCCCTCCGTTTGTCACCGGTGCCCAGCCTGGATTCTGAGATGAAGGAATTTTCCACTGCCCTCCTCTTCCCCACCACCCTTGTGTGTGTGCCCTGCCAAACAAACACCTGCTTTTTGCTTGCTAGCAGACAGGGCTGCCTTCCAGCCCCTTCACACAAGTGAGGCTCCAAAACTACTTTGCTTAAAACAGAATTGTGTAACCTTTGAGGTCAGCCAGCCCACCCTTTGACTTGCCACCTGAAATAATTCCTCCGGAGGTTATACGTATAACAGGTAGGCAGTGGACAACAACTCCCATCATCCCCAGAAAGCATGGCCTATAATCAGGGGTGGCTAGGAGGGCAAACATATTGGCTACTACTAGTCTATCCCGATGGGCAACTCACTGGTGCAAGCTGAGCAACTATAGGTAAAGGTAAAGGGACCCCTGACCATTAGGTCCAGTCATGGCCAACTCTGGGATTGTGGCACTCATCTCGCTTTACTGGCCGAGGGAGCCGGCGTACAGCTTCTGGGTCATGTGGCCAGCATGACTAAGCCGCTTCTGGCAAACCAGAGCAGTGCATGGAAATGCCGTTTACCTTCCCGCCAGAGCGGTACCTATTTATCTACTTGCACTTTGACGTGCTTTCGAACTGCTAGGTTAGCAGGAGCAGGGACCGAGCAATGGGAGCTCATGCCGTTGTGGGGATTCGAACCGCCGATCTTCTGATTGGCAAGTCCTAGGCTCTGTAGTTTAACCCACAGGCGCCACCCGCGTCCCTGAGCAACTATAGATATTAGCTATTTGGAGAGCCTTTGCTGTATTATCCTTGTGGCCATGAAGCCTCTGGTGCTATTGGTTGAGCTGCTGTGAGGCCATGGAACGTTCATATTTGCTGTGTTTTGGTTGGTTTTAATCTGCCAATAATTAACTTTATCAGAAATGTTGACAGAACCCTAGAGGGAGTGAATAATTTCCCTCATATTCACTCCCTCTAATGCGGCTGATATTTTATAACACTTCCGTCACCATCATGCCTGTCCCAGTTATTTTGTTTTCAGTTGACGGGGAGGAATAATGTTTGTTTCTTCAGTTGTGATATAAAAATATGTACAAATGCCAATAATAGACCTTGACAGAATAACACCAAAGAGACAGCCAGAGAAGGTCTAAAGCAGCCTTCGCCAACCTTGTGCCCTCCCAATGTTTTGGACTACAGTCCCCTTCAGCCCTAGCATCATATGGCTGTGCTGCTGTGGCTGTTGGGAGTTGTAGTTCAAAACATCTGGTGGGCACCAGGTTGGGGGAGATAGGTCTACATTTTTTATGAGGAGACAACTAAGGAGTGACATGGAACATTCTGCACAAATACAGTTCCATGTAGTTAAACTTCATGTCGGATTGGGGTGAGATGGGAGCTGGCAGGCGCTACCTTTTTATTTCCAGCTGCACTCCCTTGCAGACCTTGGCCTGGTTAAGGGAGCTGAGTCAGCCACAGCTCCTTGGGCAGGGCCCCAGGCGGTTCACAGTTTGCCGCAGGAACAAATGGTGTTCAGGCGATACTCCTGGTTGCCCTTCTGGAAGGCAGAGGGACCTGTGATGCTTTTTCTCCCCCTCAGGGGTGATCGCCCTGTTCTGCAGGCAGTACGACATCATCAAAGACAACGAACCAAATAACAACAAGGAGAAAACCAAGAGCACCTCAGAAAACAGCACCCCCGAACACCAGAGCGGGGGCCTCCTGCGTAGCAAGGTGAGAAGGGCCAGGAATTGGGGAGGGGGGAGAGGCAAGGCAACCAACCTCTCTAAAAGTAGCCTTTGCTTTGACTGGAGCTGAAAGTCCATGTTCTGCCTCTGAACACACAGCCAGCTCAGTGACGGCCACGGGCACCATGGCAGCCTCAAAAATACCCTGGTGGCTGCCAAGGTCCCATGCCCCTCCTGGTTTTTTAAATTTTAAATTGAGTTTAAAGTTTTACTTTTAAATTGAGGTGTATGCACCTTGGGTGTGTGTGTCTGCTTCTTGCTTTTTTGTCTCTGTTTAATTTGCTTGGGGCGATAGTGGCACCATGTGAGATCTCAATATCTTGCGAGATTTCAGTGAGATCTCTCAAGATCTTTCTGGAAATCGACACCAATGTTGGCGGAGGTGGTGGAGCGAGCAGTGTGCCCACAGGGGAGCTGCTTCAGGGGTTTCTGCCACCCGAGGTGGCTCCTTCACCCTGCCTCATGGGTGAGCTGGACCTTTACCAGCAAAACTTTACCAGGGAGTGATCCACCCATAACAACCAGGTGATAATCAACAGCCCCCCAAAAAAACCCCCGTTGGATCCTTCTCCATCTCGCTAAAGTAAAAACCAGATTTAGAGTATGACTTGCAATATGTCAAGTGCATGAGGTGTTGAGACAGCCCCCTGGTTGTCACAGCAGCCATCAAGTCCTGAGCTAGCCCAGACAAGGCAGTATTGACATGGATATTGAAGACCCCCAAAGCTAGTGTCCTGGGATTCTCCACACCACACCAGAGACCACCTCTGGCAGCTCAGTCAGGGAGGCAGCTGGGCGGACACCAGCAAGACCACTGTCCTGTCCCTGCAGCCCAACACAATATGTAAACCCTCACATCCAGCTCCTAGGTGGACTGGCCAATATGTGCCAAGTCAGTTATCTCAGTTCAGTGCTTCTGTAGGCACTGGCCAGAACCCTGGAGGGGTTAACATTTCCCTGAGCAATCAGTTCAAAGGCTTCTGGCACCGTTTCCATTTTATTTCTGGAAAGAACAGAGCTAGAGAGACACTCAGGTTTTCAAAAACAGAAAGCGAGACTCAAGGAAGGAGCTTGGAATATCCACCAGGTGGGGTGGGGGATGCTGTCAAAGGCCAATGCCAACTAAGGGTTAGGGTTTGCCTCTAATGGACCAAATTTCATAAAATTTTCTTCACCTCTACTAATTGTGATGATGCTCCAGCTTCCCTGTGCCGTAGCCATTTGCCCTTGCCAGCCATGACCCTGCATCAACTTTTGACAAACCTCCTTCATGTTCTGCTAACTCTGCTGTTGGAGGAATTATTCATGCCACAGCGACAGTCTCTTCAGTAGCAGAAAAAGTCACTTAAGGACACATAAGGGCCCCCCACCATCTTGGAAAACCTCAGTGTGTTAATCAAAGGTCCAATGACAATTGCACAACTCCAGGTGTTTCCAAAGGAAGTCAGGAAGGGAGATACTTTCTCACGGCAGCTCCAAGGGGGTCACATGAATGCCCCATTGACACAACTGGTGAGCTTCACCCAGTCTTTCTGGTCTGGTGCTAAAATGCTGAATCAAGAGTTTTTTATTGATGGCATTTTGTTTTGGCTTGACTGTATGTTGTAAAGCTGCCCTGGGAAAGAAAAATCTTTAGAACAGAAGGGTATAAATCTATTAACAAATAACACTTATAAGTCTTTGGAAGAGTCTCTCTCTCTCTCACCCCCCCCCCCAAGAGAGAAATAGGGGAAATGCTCCTTCAAAGATGGTGCCTGCTGAGGTGCATGCAACATCCCAAAACAAAAGAAACACATTTTCTTCAGAATTATAGTTATTAACTATAGTGGCATTCTCCAGTTAATTTTGGACCTCAACTTCCATCAGAATTGCTGGAGGGCACCAGGTTGGCAAACACTGATTTATACAGATTTAGTGTGAAAGGTGAATTGATTGCTTATTCCTTGTATTTCAGATGGAAGTGAAACACACACCATCTGTTTAATCCTAGCTTCACCCCAGCCCTCAGACTACAGATTCTCCATTTTCCCCAGGGTGTATTGACTTCACATTTCTGGGTACCTTATAATTCTCTCTTTTTCTCTCTTTCTCTCTCCTCTAGTTTCCAAAAAACAAGCCCTCAGTGAATATCATTGAAGCATGACAGCCTGATGGATGGACTCCGTTTCTCCTTCTCTGTCTCTTTCCCTCCCTCCCTCCAAGATTTGGCAACTGGGGAAGTGAAAGGTTTTCAGAGCTGTTTGGAAAGAGTTCTGTTCAGCTGCTGCAGACTGTAGCACAAGCCTTTCCTTCCATACCCTGGAGGAAAAAACCCAACAAGCCCATCTCCATGTGGGATAGAAAAGAAACTCGGTAATGTACTGAGCTACAGCATACTTTGAACTAGGCTGTGTCCCACACACCAACAAATGGGCATTTGCTGGTGGGGCTAGGAGGAGCGTCATCTTTCACCTTGACCGTCTGTCTCTGTCTTGTCCTGAAACATTCGTCTCTTGGGAAATGCTCCAGCTCATTCCTGGTTTGCTTTCTTCTTACCACAGCTCAGTTTTTCAGTAGGAAATGCTATCCTGGATTCCAGACACGACTGCCTCCATCTCTTCGTGACAACGCTGGAGAACGCTCTGTCCCCTCTGACCACAGACCAAACCAATGACTTTGGCTAGAAATCCCACGCAGACGTCTTGCCATTTGTGCTTTAAGTAGAAACAACTGTTTGCAGGCATTCAATTTTGTGTCTTTAATACAGTCTCTGGCAATCTGGTGCCTACCAGCTATTTTGGACTACAAGTCCCATCAGTCCCAGCTAGCCAACAAAGTGAGCTGTCGTCCCAAACAGCTGGTGGGCATTAGGTTAGCGAAGGCTGCTTTAAACAAAAAGACAAAGAAACCAGAAGCACACATTTTTCCACCTGGACTCTCAGGACTCCGCTAGCTGCTTATTATAAGTTACTTTGAGCAGTTGTGAGTTTCTTATTTCCCCCCAAGTTTTGGTGTATATTTAATGTTGTTTCTCCAACTGGATAACCAACAGAGAATGCAAAAAACAAAAACAAAAAACCCCTAACCCCAAATCTTCCAGTTCTGTAGAACAGCAAAGAGATCTGACGACGACTATAGACAAGAATGGTGGAAACATCTGGTGTTTTTCTCCCAGGGTGAGCCCCATCTAGGCTGCAAACTTGTTTTGGTTTTATTCCACTTTATTGTCATGGCTTTTCCAAAGAATCCTGGGAATACTAGTTTGGTGAGGAGCTGGAGATTATACAAATTCAGAAGAACCTTGCTGAGCCAGGCCTGAGGTGTGGTCTTGGGAGTGGGGAACCTGTGGCCCTCTAGATGCTACTGACTACAACTCCCACCATCCCTGACAGATGGCCAGGCTGGCTGCAGGGGCTGATAGGATCTGACATCAGCCAACAGGTCCCAAGTCCCTGGGCTACCTAGTTGGGAATTCACTCAGCCTGGAGCCAATTAAGAAGCCCACAAGCAGGGCACAACTGTGGTGGTGGCCCTCCTCTCTTGCTGGCCCCTTGTAGCTAGTCCTGCCTGTGGACATGGGGGATTGATTTTATGCCTGCAAAGCTAATCACCAGTGACAGCTTGGCCCCTCCATGGATTCCCCCAGTCCTTAACTAAGGGGATGAAAGCTGGTGACCACCATTAGCAGATGCCTGGAGGGAATTATCCTCTGTGTGAAGAAGCCCTGCTTTCTTTCCCCTCTGCTAAAATCACTGTCACTTTTATTGGACGACCCTCTAGTTTTAGTGCAGGGAATTATCTGTTGCCGATGCCAAGGCCCATCATCACCAAAATTGATAGATGCCAACTACGATTCCCAGGGGTTCCCTGGAAAGCAGGAAATGGCTGTGAAACCTGTTGTAATCTGCTCTTCGGATCTGTGCTTATCAAACCATTTCTTCTTAGCCGGGTCTGATGTAATCCACCCACAGTGTGCCAAAGCAGCTACACTTCGATCCTTGAAAACAAACAAACACACCAATTTAATTCGCATTGTGCCAAGATTGCTTGATGCAAAGTCAAACACCTTTGTATAGGGGAGCCTCGCACCAACATGGGATGGCTTCTCTGCAAGTCATCCCAGCAACTTTGTCAGTGCAGGGGTGGATTTGGGGCTCTCAAATTTCAGTGGCACCCTGTGCAATGCTGAAATTTGGCACCCCCCACCTCTTGCACTCATTTCTATGGTACTGTTGTGGCATCCCTTGAAGTGCAGTGTCCAGGGCGACTGCACTGCTTTTCAGTGCATGAGAGGCCACGGAGGCCAAAGCCTCTCAGACAGGAGCTGAAATTGGTTGGAGAGGGCAAAAACTCCATGTAGAAACTCACTCCAACTGGCCAGCAAAAGCTCAAGGTGGTTCGTCCTCCTTTATGGATGCTGTTGGATTTAGGGGGTGGGCTGTGGTTGTTTTTAAGGGGGCTGTAAATTATGAATTTTGTCATTACTTAGCATCACTGCCTTATTGTGTCTTATCAACGAGACTTACTTTTTTTAATCCCTTAAAAATGTCTTCTACAAAATCAAAATGTGAGAATCATCAATTTGGTTCACTTACTTGAACCTGACCTTTCCTTTCTCAGAGCAGTATTTTGGCCTCACAACAACCCTGTGGGGTAGGTTAAGCTGTGACACACCCAAGGCCTCCAAGTATCCTTCATTGCTGAGCAAGGATTTGAATGTGATATGCACCAGGAATATGTGCATGATCAATGCATGTAGCAGGGGGAGCTAGACTAAAAAAACCAGGCACAGTTCTTGTGTGTAGGAAGCCATACGTGTTCACCAACTGGAATTTCAAAAAACTTGCCTCATTTTGAGTTGGAGCTCTGACCCCAAACCCATCTGGTGTGCTGTAGGGTAGTCATCTCACCCACAGTATAACAAGGGCAAGGCATATCGTAGATTCTCTTTTCCATTATTTCTTTCTTGCCCCTAGGGTTAATCAAATTGCCAGATTCCTGCCTTGGTCTTTCCGGACAGAAAGGTGGGAGAAGTGGTGGACAATTTTCGGCAATTAATAAGTTTTTCATGGCTGAAAGTGGACAGATCTGTGCATGTGGCAATGCTGTGGAAGGTGATAAGGGAGGAGGAGGAGGAAGATTCCCCTGTTGTGCTTCAGGATTAAGCCCTCTGCATGTTGTTCCAGATAGGGATGCGGGTGGCGCTGTGGGTAAAAGCCTCAGCGCCTAGGGCTTGTCGATTGAAAGGTCGGCGGTTCGAATCCCCGCGGCGGGGTGCGCTCCCGTTGCTCGGTCCCAGCGCCTGCCAACCTAGCAGTTCGAAAGCACCTCCGGGTGCAAGTAGATAAATAGGGACCGCTTACTAGCGGGAAGGTAAACGGCGTTTCCGTGTGCGGCTCTGGCTTGCCAGAGCAGCTTCGTCACGCTGGCCACGTGACCCGGAAGTGTCTCCGGACAGCGCTGGCCCCCGGCCTCTTGAGTGAGATGGGCGCACAACCCTAGAGTCTGTCAAGACTGGCCCGTACGGGCAGGGGTACCTTTACCTTTACCTTTTATGTTGCTCCAGGAAGCCTTGCATTCACACTGGGAGAAGAGATGGGCTTCTGATTGCTCATTCAAAATGCCAAGTTGGCTTGGCCTGAGGTTTAATTCCTCCTCTGCTGAGCTCAATAACTGGCCTATCAGGGGAGTTCGGTTCCACGGTTGGCCTGGTTCACACATAACACTAAGCCACAATTTATTAAACTATACATTATTAACCATGGTTTTTGCTTGACCATCCTAATCTTGCCAAGCAACTTAATGATGGTCAACTACCAGCAAACCATGGGGGTTGGCTTACAAGCCTTGAATAGTTTTAACCATGGCTTTGGTGTTATGTGCACACCCAGGACCCGTCCTTAATCATGGTTTGCTTTGCCCCATCACTCAGACATGTGGCAAGTTACAAAGGTGTGAGGCAAGAGCGGGTGGAAAACATACTAAACTTTGAAGAAACAAATCCTGGTTTGAAGGATCATCTGTGTTACAGTTAACTGTTTCTTAAACAAACAAAGGATTAGTGTTTTATGTGCAAACTAGCTGGGAGGGAGAAGGGCTTGTATGCATAGTGATTACCAGACAGAGCTGTGACCACAGGTTGGGATGCCACTGTCTTCCCTAGCCCTGCTCCTGTGCATGTAACAATAACCCTGCCCACACTCCGCGCTCCCAAATTAATAAGGGATGTATTATTTCTTGGCACATTGATAAAGCCATGGAATCCGTTCCACTTGCTAAATGTCTGCATGTCAGGCTCAAGGCACGGGAGACAAGGAAGAAGAAAGGAAGAAAAAGGAGTCAGTCAGACTCAGATCTCTGCTTCAGATTTTTCTTCAGTCACAAACTCCGTGTCTGGCTTGAACAAGACACTAGCAGCTAGCTCACTATCCTTCCCCTCAACCTCTAATTGGTTGCATAGGGATAATACTGGCCTTTTAGTGGAGGATAAATCAGGAATCCCCATGTTGAGACTGTGTGCATCACTTAATGCCCGTTTGTCAGGGGAAAGAGAGAGAGGCTGTTCTGCTCATACTCTGCTTTGGGGCTTCTCAGGGGCTTTTTGCTGGCTCACAGTGAGAGATAGGCTGCTGGCCTGGATGGACACACACTGGAACCATCCAGCAAGGCTCTTCAAGCCCACTTTGCAGGGTTGCTGTAAGGACTGTGGAGATAACAAGTCTGACAAGTGCTTTGGTCTCTCTAAAGCATGGTGTCAATGCTAGGTAGTGTTCCTAGAGATGATGTCTCCATGATGACATCATGACCGCCTCCTTTTTTCCATTGCTGTGTTTTTCCAGGCCCTCCTCAGTCCCCCTCATCTCTGCCTTCACTCAGCTCAGGAAGGGCCTGCTCATCTGCAGGTGGAGAAGTCTAGTTGCTTCAGTTTCTGTCATGGTGTTAATGTGCCTCTTCAAAATTGTGTCTCTTCTCATCGGTGACTAAGTCAGCGCCTGCTCTAAAGCTTCCAACATCCACGCAAAGCCACTTGCAACCAGCCCCTCCCATCGACTTCCACACAAGGTGCCGGCAGATGGCATCCCGCACCACCCTGGTGCTTTCCAGAGGTTTTGGACTACAATTTCCATCATGCTGGCTGTAGAGTTCTGAGGATGCTGGGGACGCAGCTGGGCTGACAGGGGCTAATGGGAGTTGTTGTCCGGAACCACCTAATTAACAGCTACTCACAATGTGTTGCAAAACAGAGGAAAGGTCTCACTCCCCTCAGTTCTTGCCAAAACGATGGCCGAGAGCAGATTGTCTGCCTTGTTAGACACAGAAAGGTTGTTACCTGTGATAACAGTTTTGAGCAATAAACCATGTTTTTAAATGTACAGTGACAGGAACATCTCCTTTGAGTGTAAAGAGATCGACATTTCGAAAGGTCGCCGATCCTCAGTCTGGCCTTGTGAAAAACATGATATATTGGGGTTTGGGTTTTTTTGCATGGGGAGATGGGAGCTTTCGTAGCCAGATTTCGAAGGGTTCATTTTCTGAAATGGCAGATTCGTGGGATGAGACTTTCCCAAAATAAGCACACAGTAACACCTTGTACAGGAGTTCTTCGGATCGTACAGTTTGAGTTAGCAAGTAGCAAGGGAGGCTTCCTGCACTAAAACAAAAACAACTCCCTGCACATAGAAATGTAGCTTTTCAGGGCTAGCCTAGAACTTCGCTCTCTGATATGTTCACTTCCCACAGAGGCACAATTTTTGAGATGGGGAAGCATTTCAAACATACCCACAATCTGAACTCCATCCCGAGTGAGTTATCTCCCCATGTAGGACATTCCCCACAGGCTTGACATTGCTCTAGTTATTAGGATACTACAGTTTGCTCCCATGACACTCAGCTGTTTCTCAGGCCCCACCCGCAGAGGGAGTGAAAGTAGTTTGGGACTGTGGTTTGATTTAGCGCTCCATCTTTGGCTGCCAAAGGAGAGCCTCCTTCCAGCTGGACTCCTGAGCAAGCAGTGGACATTCGACCTAATTTGGCTACTGCTGTGTGCTCTATTTGTGGTACCGAGTTTCCACCGGTGTGTGTGCCCCTTGTGTTCCAAGGGCTGCACAGCGACTTCCCTGATCACATCCTTTCATGGCCAGTGCCAGGTGTTGGTTGGGTCAGGCAGAGGCCAGTAGAGGGCCCGCCAACAGCCATCTTCATTTCCTGCTTGTCTGCCAAAAGGGCTACAAAGCAAGAGCTCACCTCTCACTTCCTCTACAGCCCAGAGGGGAGCTGGAGAAAGGGGCACGGGGTTGTGACTTCACTCAGAGGCCCCAGAAGCTAGGAGCAGCACAAAAGAGACAAGACGCTGTCTCTGATCTTCCCAGTACCATGGCTTCCCCCCAACTCTTTTAGGACATACTACGGAAGGGGGAGGGCAAGATCTCCCATGGCTCATTGGGAACAGGTGAAGGCAGAAGGGGGAGAAAATGAAGAGCGGCAAGGGGGATGCTGAGGCAAACCTGTGGTCCTCCAGGTGTCATTGGGCTACATCACCCATCAACCCCAGACAGCATGGCCAATGGTTAAGAAAGATGGCATCTGGTCCTGCAACATCTGGTGGTCAAAGGTTAGCCACAGCAGCTAGGGCAGTGATGGCCAAACATGGCCCTCCAGCTGTTTTGAGACTACAACTCCCAACATCCCTAGCTAACAGGACCAGTGTTCAGGGATGATGGGAACTGTAGTCCCAAAACAGCTGGAAGGCCAAGTTTGGCCATCACTGAGCTAGAGGGTCCACTGATGGTTCTTACCTCCAGACCTCCTAGAGTATGCCCTCCACATTACAGTATTTCCACCCCCCTGGACAGCATAGTATGACTTGGGTGTGAAGTCCCAATCTGGCACATCATCCACCACATGCCTTTTGGACTTCTTGTCAGGACTTCTACACAGGTCTGACACACCTTAAAGCAGTACAGCTTCCCCTCCCACCCCCTCCCACAACTAGAACCTAAAGTGGGAAAATGGATGTCAAGACTCACCTACCCTTTCCATGTTCAGCATCCAAATTGGCATCCTGCGAGTGGTAAAGTGTTGGGGTGTGCATATGAGTATGTGTGTGATATCATTATCCCCTGTAATTGCAGCCTTTTAAAATGTGCGGCAATAAATGCCATTAGCGAGAGAAGAAACAAACACAGGCTGAAAGCAATTCCACGCTTCAGAGAGATGAGTGTCAAGCGATCAAAAAGCACCTTCAGACTCTCTGCAGAGAGATCTTTAAAGCAGAGATGCAATCAGAACATGCTGTAGGATACAACAGAGCTGGCTGTATTTGGGGAGATTTCAGGAGGACAGAGATAAAATGCATTAAAATGAGATCCAAGGTGGTACTGCATTATTTGAGAAGAGTATGGACTGAACCACAGGAATGGTTTGTAAGGGATCATGGCAGAGGACTTGCACCATACATGGAATGTCCCAGGTTCAGTCTCCAAGTAGAGTCTAAAGACCCCTGCCTGAAACCCTTGGGATCCGCTGTTGATTGTTGTTCAAATAAGGGTCTGACTTGTTATAAGGTATCCTACATACCAGATTGACTACAACATAACACTCCATGGAAAATGGTAATCTCTCTCCCCTGCCCCGCATTTGTTTCCAACAATTGCCAAGCTCCAGTTCAGAATGGACATCCAATTAAATGTCTTGGCAGGTGGGAAATCCAGATTTCAGCTGTGAGCGATTTTCTGTCCCAGTTCCAGCTGTAGTGCAAATTACATCATTAGAATTCGCCGCCTACTTCCAGCTTTAGGAGCACATGTGAATGCAATGAAGGAGTGAACTCGCACAATACGGGAACTTCATTTGCAATTTATTATTTACCGTATTTTTCGCTCTATAAGACGCACCAGACCACCAGACACACCTAGTTTTTGGAGGAGGAAAACAAGAAAAAAAATATTCTGAATCTCAGAAGCCAGAACAGCAAGAGGGATCACTGCTCAGTGAAAGCAGCAATCCCTCTTGCTGTTCTGGCTTCTGGGGTAGCTGCGCAGCCTGCATTCGCTCCATAAGACGCACACACATTTTCCCTTAGGAGGGAAAAGGTGAGTCTTATAGAGCAAAAAATACAGTATATGACGCCCATTTGACTAGGTTGCCCCAACCACTCTGGGCAACTTCCAACAAAATATACTTAAGAGTACCCACACACCAAGACCGGGCCCTGATGCACTCTCAATTGATTCAGGCTTTATGCAATTGATTCCAAAAGGACTCAAGATGATGCTTTGCCATACAGCACAGGAATAGTTTCACAGACTGTTTGCAGGGAGCGGAGGGCTGGGGAGAGACTAATTTCTAGCAAACAATTAGACTGTGACAGTTGCCCTAGAAATATCCCAAGATGTTTGAAAACACATACAGTCCTCCTTAGAAGCTTTTTGTCAGAGGATGACTGAAGTTCAGCACCTCTGCCTTTGTTCCTTAAAAGGACAATTGATTTCCAGGTCTCCTCCTGCACAAGGCACTGCTTGCAAAACTGTCACAGTAGTGGCAGTTTTGGGCAGAGCAAAAAAACTACTCTCTTTCACACTCCCTCATTGCAATTATTTTTTCCTGCTCCTTCATCCTGTACTTTAAAAAGTCACATTACCTTTTGATACTGGAGGTAGAAAAGTCAAAACACCTTCTCTGTCTCCCCCCTTCCTCATTATGAAGGGGCATTCCTTGCAAAGCTATGTTGGCTGTTAGCTACCAACAGACCAACCCTTTTCTTTGGGTTTGTCCAGCACTTTTTAAAAACAAGCTTCAGAGTTGCTCAATGATACAAAAGGCCAGCACACCGCACACACCTACAAAGTGTCCCATGAGTTGAACCTGAAACAAAATCTTGCAGGAGGTGCTTGTCTTCAGCGTTCAAGCCAGTCTGGAACAGTGATCTTGTTCAGGCCGAGGTGCGTGAGAGTGCATGAGTCTTGGGGGTTGAAAACTTTAGAAGCAGGGAAGGCAAAAGGGACATTTTTTATCTTATACCTCCCATTCCCTGGTGAAGATTTACCCTTCACTCGAAACCTGTACTTGCTGGAGAAGGGCGAGTCTCATCGAAAGCTCCCTGAAGCTCCGAAAAGGATGAAAACATGCATTTCTCCTACTCCAAAGCTTCCTATATGACAGAAAAGATCCCATCTCTTCCTCTTGCTCCTTAGCAAGCAGAGAGGGGTAGAGGTGGATCTTGCCTCAAAGACCGGAGTAGCAGGAAACATGCGGTTTCTTTTTTTAGCTAAAATTATTGCACAAGTGAGAGTCTGTCTGAGAGTGTGGTAGCATTCTCTTACTGGGGGCAGCAGGCAGTCACACTGGTGTGGTAGTGAGCAGATAACTGACGCCTGCCTCCAAATGCACAGAAATCACTACCTTGTTTTTGGGAGGCTCTGTTTTGCTTCCAAATTGATATGTGATAAACCACACAAGTTCCCTCTTTAAGGGAATGATGCAGCACTGAAGGACGTCAATTTGTTCTGAGCCCATCTGTAAGACCCATTTCACAGACAGGAAGAATAATACCTCTCATTCACCCCTAAAGGTACTCTCCATCTCTCACTACTTGAGGCCTTGGCAACTGAATGTGTAAGCTGCCACGATTACAAAACTCTTGTGTGTAATGTGAAATGAATGCTTTGCCTGTAACCCTTCATGTCTTAATTCACCTCCAGACTTCTAAAAATGGTACAGAAACATATAACTGAGCTGCACATGCAAACCAGTCAATCACCCACTGGGAGGCAGGGAGGAAGAAAGAGAACACACTGCAAGATATTTCAAAGGCACAAGCATTTATAAAAATTGCCACAGCATACAGTATCAAACTGCTTGGTGAAACATCAAAATATAAAACATTTGGCAGAGGACAAGTTCAAGGTCAAATTGAACAAAAAATTCTAACAAAAACAAACTATAAACTGGCCTTAACTTAAAAACTGAAATTAATAATAATAATAATGAAGCTGACAATCAACTTCGAAGCGCAGATAAAAGACAACTTAATTTCAATGGTGAGACACTTCTAGCTTGGGATAGGGCTGCGCCTGAAGCGATCAGGGACACTCTCAAAACGACGGAGGTTGCGATTGTTCCTATCGACCCACTGGTCAAGGGAACACCTGTGGGCTGTACTCTTAGCTCGCTGTGCATAGTTCCTGCAGGTTAGGGGTAGAACAACAGTAAGTATAAATCAATGTAAAGCAAGTGCAAATGCAAAGGAGGCACCCCACCCCACCCACCCTGAATCCCACCTGTCCTTTGGAAGATTTTCTTCTACTACACCTTGCTGAATCAGTCCGTATGTACACCGGCACTGTTTCCGACAGAGGTAAGCCAGGGGCATCTGGGAAGCCCCCAACCAGGATAGGAAAGCAATAGTCCTCCCCTGTTTCATACACCAACTACTGTGGTTGCAAATTACCACTCTGCATTTCTCTCCCCTTTCAATGCTGTTTGACCCGAATGTTTGCTATTCCCACCCCCCAAACAGGTAACTGTGACTTAATGCATCTGAAGAGGATTCTAGTGCACAAAAGCTTATAACAAATGCATCACTCTTTAAAGTGCCACAGACTCTTCGTTCAGCAGCTTTTTTATCTTCTTGAAAACCAGTTTTAAGCAAGTTATTCTGTTGCTTAAGGAGGTAAACCTGCCACTGGGGTCCTGCTGCCCTTGGTTTCATGAAGGGTGACACAGTACCTTACGGTCAGGTCTGTTGGGTGTGCAAATCCAGGTTCCCCGTAGCGGTTTTCAGCAGTCACGGTGAACATCAGCTGCTGCAACTCATTGACTTCATCTGAAATTTGGCAGAGCAAGGCAATGCAACCCAGTGTGTTTGCATCAGGTACCACAGGGGTAGGTAATGCAATGCCCTCTAGATGTTGTTGGACTTCCATTCCTATTAGCTCCAGCCACTATGGCCAATGGCTAGGGATGATGGAAGCTGCTGTAGAGGGTACCACATAGGCCACCCCTGAGGTTCAATAAAGTTAAAAGATGCATCTTTGGCACTAGCCACATTCTAGGTCAGCTTTCCCCAACTGGGTGCCCTCTGGCTCTCAACTCCAGACAGCTGAACCATGTATGACTGAGGCTGCTGGGTGCTGGTAGTCCAAAACACCTGGAGGGCACCAGACTGGGGAACGCTATGCTAGGCAGTGTATTACACAGCGGAAGTCAAATATGTAAGGATCCTATGGTGATGGTCTAAACATGCATGTTGAGTTTTGGGGAAGAAATGGCTACTGTGGAAGCACAAATTAAGTTTCTTGTGAAATACTGAAACACACTGTTCTTTAGAATGGCTCTTCCAAATAAGGATGAGTCATACCAACTCAGGATAAGGGAGGCCTCAGAAGTGTTCTGGACAGCAGGTTGTAGATGCACTGTTTGAAATGCCCCATTATGCTGCTAATGACCTGTAAAAGCTAATTTCCTGAGCGGAGAATTTCAGTCAGGGAAAGGCAGGAAGTAAGAAATCTTTCCACAAACCTATACCCTGCTCCTCCCTGGCTCACTGGAGCAAACTATGTCTTCAACACCAGTGATGATTTAGTTGCCTGAAGGCTGTGCAGAAGCTGAGGGTGTCTAGTGTTACTTACAAAGAGTTGCTAGCAACGGGAGTTTGCCTCCCCATCTCAAGCCGGGATATTGAAATAGCTTCCAATGTTTACATTCACCAGCATTTAAAAAGCCTCATAACAGATTCAATGCATCCATGCATGAAGTAAGCCCTAACCTTTAATGCACCCATGTTTTAAAAACCAAGTCAAGGCTCAACTGGAAGACTGGTGAGGTCACTGCCACCCCCTACTGTCCCCAAGAGCCAGTGGAAGCTGCATGTCCAGGGTAACAACAACAGGTTAACAGGCCCAGTCAGCCACAGTCAAGTCATTCTCTGGCTGCATTCCGGCTGTGCTCTACTTCCTCCGCTGTGTTCTGGCACCACCTGCTGGCAAGAAGCAGGAATGACTTTGGCCTTGCATTGTGTTCTCACACATGTGGACACATACCATGGGAGAAGTGCAACATCCATGATCATAACCCAACCCGCACATACAAGAGGTAATCCTTTGTCCTTGCTCATTTTCCCAGGCTCTCTGCCAGGAGAGCCACACAGCAGCCTAAGTTCTGACTTGTAAGAGGGGCCTCTTTTAGGAGTTAAATCCACCACTCAGCTGTTTTCTTCCTGTCCTTACCAGGCAGTGGCACAGGAAAGGCCCCTCCCCCCAGTTCCCCCTCCCATTTAGCGTTTACTGGTGCACTGTGCCACAGGGAAACTGCTCTCAAGCCATCTCCAGGCTCATAGCAAAACTCAGAGCTACTTAAAGAGTCCCCTTTTTGAGCAGCAGCCAAGAGCCTTGATTCCTGCTCTAGCCTAGGATTGCCTCTCCTTCCCATGCCAGACCACCAATTCTATGCCTAAAGCTACCCAAGATAATACATGTTTGTGCTAATAAACAAACAGCTTGTGCACATTACATGAAGCATTCGTGAGCAATTTTGGTGTGACGTGCCAGAACTCTGAATGTACACATTGCATATTAATTTGAAAGGCACAGTGAAAAAAGAAAAGTAGGATCCTAATTAGAGTTTTCCTTCTGCCCACATGATTTGTCCTCAATCCATACACTGGAAGCAGCCCAGCACCTTGTTAGTATTGCATGTGCAGAGAGACAGACAGACAGACTGAATGAGTTTGGGCAAGAAGCAGCATAACTGGTCTTCCTGAAAAGGTCTCTTCATTTGCCCCCGAAGAAACCAATAAATAAACCACCATTGGAAGAGGGGGGTGCCTTCCTCTTTACAACTCCAGGGAGAGTGTCTCGAAGAATCTAAAGGCCATCTAGAACAACCTGTGTCCTTCCCTTGACCTCCATCCTGCCCACCACTAATTTACAATGCAGTGCACACTGTGGCAGAAAGAACTGGCATCCAGTATCACAAAAGTGCTGCTGAGCAAAATGGCCATATGATATTTTGGCAAGAAAGGCAAGTTGCCTGCCCCAGGAGTGTCAGGCCACTGTAGCTAGAATTGGGGGGTGGACGGACTTGTGGGATGTGGGTTCAAACCCTTGATCAGCCACAAAGACTTCTCAGACTTTCAGCTCGTTCTTAAGTGAAACTACCTCACAGAGGTTTTTGCAGTAATAAGATGAGTTAATCCCCTGAAAGCCAGGATAAAGGAAAGATAGATATAAATGCAATAAATAAATATGAGGGAAGGTCAGGTGAAAAACTCCTGTCTCACCCCAATTAGGTTGAGGGGCAGGTACAAAAGCAAAAATTAATTGCACAAAATTCCATGCCACCAGGTCTCCAGCTCCAGCAGAGAGAGAAAGGGGGGGGGACACTTTCTGAATCAACCCTTACCCAATGGCAACACTTTATGGCAGCAGAAAAAAGGAACCCCAGAAAAATGTTGATTCCACCTCCAGCTTACCTATGAGTTCAGCATGCTGAGCATGGGCAAGGACAGCATTGATGTATTTGTTCTTGCTGGACTCAAGTTTTGCCTCTTCAATGTATATCCGATATCGGGGCCTTACAGGACTGGAGGATGGGGGAGAAAATGACAAAACTGCTAAGAATTGCAAAGCCATCTGCTAGACAAATATGATGTGTTACTGAGAGAATTTAAGCACACTAAGACTAGAGGGCATGATTTTAGAGGTTGTTCCTTACACCTTGCAATAACTGAAGGGTACTTTCAATCCATAATTTAGCATAAACTTTTAGCTATTGATTTTATTAATCTGGCTTTTCATAAACTTGTTTTTAACATTAAATTTTGTTTACTATTTTAATGCATATCTTTTGGAGTCCATTTACAGGTTTAATTTACAGTTCAGCAGCACATACTTTTTAAATTGAACAAATGAAAAATTGTTCCAAGCTTGGGAGGGTATACTTTTTGAAAAATTAAATCTCCCACAATGGTTTTCACAAAAATTAAAACACCCCATGTAAAGTTCGGTGAAAATCTGTTAAACAACAAAATTATGTGGGGAAGAGGAGTCAATGCTTAGCTCATCTTCAAGAATAAATATATATATATCATAAATAAACTATTGAATAAGGCAGAATCAGTTTATACACAAGGCAGCATTACATGGATGCCATAATCTAAATAAGACACATTTCCACAACTCTCTCCATTTGCAAGATGTAAGGCATCATAAGACTGTAGGCATCATGTACCACCACCATATATATGTAAGATCTCTTGAGAATATTAAATTCCTGGTTTTGTGGAAAGGTTTATAGCCCTCATTACTGTCAAAGATCTCAGCAAGTGGGCAACACCTTCCACGGCTGAGAATTCCATGTTTTGGCAGGAAAACTGGAAACAGAGCATTGCAGCAGAAGGAAGAAGGGAGAAGGGTGGAAATAGAAGAATATAAACAGAGCAATCTATGTGGTGCTTGGGACATATAAACAACACAAGAACCCCTTTCAGCAGTTAATTGTGTGCTTGCTACTATCTAGTGCAGGCATTCCCAAACTCGGCCCTCCAAATGTTTTGGGACTACAACTCCCAGCATCCCTAGCTAACAGGACCAGTGGTCAGGGATGATGGGAACTGTAGTCCCAAAACATCTGGAGGGCCGAGTTTGGGGATGCCTGATCTAGTGCAAGGCAAAGGGATACATTATTTATTTATTTATTTATTTATTTATTATTATTATTATTATTAAATAAATGATACATGAAAAGCCCTGTCAGGCTTTAGTATTCTTGTACACATACAAACATCACATACAACCCCCTTCCACCCAGGGTGCAGAGCCGCACAACAGATGCAGAGGAGAAAGGAGAGCATAGCACACCAAGACTCAAGAAAGCAAGCCTAGCTGTAGGCACCAGGAGAAGCGGTGCTGACCAATTTGGCTCTTTGATGCTGGGACCTTCCATATATGCCTTTCTTTGATCACCGATGGATGTGGAACAGGATGGTGCAGCTTCTTCATGCAAGCCAGCAGAACCCAAATCTCCTCCAGCCTCTTGTGGTGGGCTGTTTGCACTCTCTTTTCCTAGGTCATTTTGATTTAGGGAAGCCTGTTCCTTGCAGGGCCCTTCAGCTCTCTCAGGTTTCGCCATGAGTTGTCTCACGCTTTCCAAGTTATCGTCTACCACTGCCTGAGCAGCTTCTTTATCCAATACCTCAGACACATTGTTCTCTTTTTGCAGACTCAAGGCAGCTGCTGCAACTGGCACAGCTTCTGGAAGAACAGAACTGTTTGAATCCAAACCAAATCCAGCTTGGTTTTGAGACCCTGTGCTCAAGTCACTCCCACTTTCTGGACTTTCAGAGTCATTTCTGCAAGCACTTGAACAGACTAAAGGGTCAGCTGGAGACAGTGGCTCTGTTTTTCTAGACTCTAGATCTAGAGTACCAGAAGGCTTAGAAGATCCTAATGCACACAAAAATCTATCATGTTCTGCATCTGGTTCAAATGCTTTGGAATTCGAGGTCTCCGGGCAGCGTGGTTGACTATCTGACAAAAGTTCATCTTCAGCTTCAGAAGTGAGTCCAGTGGAAAAGTCTGAGAGTTCCCCATCTGAAGGATCCAGTAAGCTGTCATCTAGTATGTCATCTGTGTTGCTATTATCAGGCTGTCCATTGGTGGTCACAGAACACACTGCAGAAACTGCTATTCCATTGCTTGATGAGGAAGGGTCTGCAAGTGCACCAAAAGGCAAGCAGGAGAGTTTGTGTCTCTTTGTGTCTGGTTGCTCCTCCTCTTGAAACTCTTCGAAGGACCGCTTGCTCCTGGAAACTAAATCATTTAAGAAAGTGACTTTTAGATTTAAACGGGAGCGGAAAGTGCTACTTGCCATGATGCTGCTTGCACTTATTCTTTCTTTCTTTCCTTTTTAAAAGTAACCCTTTGCTACCATGTTCACTCCAGACTAGAAGAAGCCAAGCAAGGGAAATCTATACTCAAGGCTTCCCTTCAGCCAAAGTGGTTCTCAGTTGCCTGCAAGAAAGAAAAGGACAAAATAGAAGCTAGTTGAAGAAATCTCATGCTCTCCTTCCCCTGCAACTGCATCTGTGCTAGAAGAAATCTACTCCATTGAAATTGCTCTCCTCCTCTGAAGACTACACTACCTAACAAATGTCTTACTCAGATTCATTACAGCTGTTCTAATAAAACATTATTTAACTCACATACAAATCAGAAAAGCTGACTAAAAAATGAAACAAAGAAATTTTCATAGAGATAGTTAAATGGTATGCTTTTTTATTACACACACTCCAAAGTTTACATTTTATAAATGTAAATTTAAGAGCCAACATGGTCCAGTGCTAAAGAGTTGGAGATGCTAGATCAGGTATGAGTTCAAAAAGAACTCTATTTTACAATCACCTGTAAATAGGAATACTAGTTATCTAACTTTACATGGTTCTTTGAACCCTTTGCAAAATTAAGGTTTCAGCTTTAAGTACATTTATTTGAAAGTGTTACTGCTCTCTATGAGGATTGCTTCCAAGTGAGGCAAAAAACATTGTAAGCAACTGATCAGTCACCTTGCTCTTCCCCACTCCTGCATTATTGAGATCTAAGATACAGCTCACATCCAAACACGATTATATCTGAATTCTGGCTTGTGATTTGTTTGGAACTGCTAAACCAATGTTCAGACACAACCCTAGTAGCTCCCAGTAGCACTGCAGGTGCAAGGAGCAGCAATGTTGCCTCATTTGTCTCCCTGTGCACTTGCAGACTGCATATTCACTTTTGTTTTTATACCTGATGTTAGCTGCCCTGAGGAGGGCGGGGTATAAATAAAATTTATTATTATTAATTTATTTTTATTAAAGTGCAAACAGTGCCACTTTCCAATAACAATCAAGTATTTTAAAAACATTAAATTGGATCACAAAGAAAATTCAGTTACCTTCAGATTTGATACTTTTACAGTTTACAAACTCATCAGGATAACTTTTAACTGTGTTACAAAGGAACAGAGGAACCTGCCTTAAATGACCAATTCAGCCAGTTTGTCCCTCAAGCTCAGTATTATTTACTCTGGCTGGCAGAGACTCTCTAGGGAAGTCTACTTTGAGATTTAAAGTTTCCACAGCATGTACCAGGAAATCTGCACCTCACCAGCTTATGAACAAATGAGCTACTGTTACACTAATCTTTCATGTTAACTTTGTATCTGTGGGCAAAACAAGATAGCAACTCTACACTAAAATGAAGATGTGCTTTAGAATTCATTAAAGCCTGTTGTGGCAACACAACTCTGCTGAATTCTGCTATTTAGGTAATGGGAAATGACCATAATTCAGTGATAGAGCACCACCCCTTTTCTCAGCCTGGCACAGGGACCCCTTAAGGGGAGATGGAGCAAGTTTGTCTTCTGCTGCTCCAGAGGGCAGGACCCGAACCACCTGATTCTAACTGCAAGAAAGGAGATTCTGACTAAACACTAAGAACTTGCGGGTGGTGACAGCTGCTTGACATTGGAATGGACTGCCTGGGAAGCTGGTGGCTTTTCCTTCAATGGAGGTTTTCAAGCAGAGGTCCTTGCTGAGGGTTGGACTAGATGACCCTTGGGACCCCTGCCAACTCTACAGTTCTATGGCCCTTTGTGGAGAGGGGGCAGCACCTGGAAAGACGGACTAGGGGATAATTGGGGCGGCCGCCATAGGCACACCAGAAGCGAAGCACGTCCTGAGCTACAAAAACAAACCCAACTCCTGCCTCGTTTTTTGCAGTTTCTGCAAAGCGAGGGAGTCTCCCCCGCCTCCCTTCCTCGGTGCCTCCTCCTCCCCCTGCTCCCCACTACGGGTCTCCCCTTCACTTGGCCAGGCCGCCTCGCCCTCCTTCCTTTCCCAGAGCAGTGGCTCAGAGCGCCTCCTTGCACCGCAAGTACACTCCGTGGAGAGGGGAGGGAGCGGAAGCCCAGACCAGCCCCCAACCCACTTAGTCCGCCCCCTCAAACCTTCCCAAAAGAAGAGCTCTGCGTTCTACAAAGTCACCCCCCAACGGGGCCCCCCTTATTCCCGGTGAGAGGGGGGCGGCGGCGGCGGTGGCGGAGGGAAAGAGCTGTTTCCCACACTCACCCGCCGCCATCTTGACTTCCCGCAATGAACCGGATGCGGCGCCTAAGCTCCCTGCCGTCGCTTTTGCTCCTCCTCTACTTCACACAAGGCTTCAGGGTCGCCGACCGATTCATCCACCGGCCGCTCTTTCAAGCCCACTCGCAGGAGGAATGAGTCGAGCGAGCCAGAGGCGCAGCCGCAGTGGGAGCCCCGCCCCCTCCCTTCCAGTCTCGGGGCGGGGCAGAGGCCACCAGGCTGGCAAGCAGAGCGCCGAGAGCGAGGAAGCTGATGCAACGCGGAGGCAGACCCCGGCTGGCGTGTGTCAGAGAGAGAGAGAGGAAAGGTGAGGGAGCGGAGGGAGGAAGGGAGGGAGGGGGGGCGTTGGGAGCTCCCCGGCGCCCAAGGACGGGTAGGTGGGGGGAGGGGAGATCACGAGGGATGGCGTGGAAGGCCCCGAGTTAGTATGTGGGACTCGCTGCCACCATATGGGCTGATGGCTTTGAAGGGGATTTGAAGGGGGACGACGACCCAGGGCCTGATTTTGCTGCTTCTTTTTCCATCTCCCTCCTCAGTTTTTTTCCCTTTCTTGCCGTTTCTTTCAGATTGCAACCCAGGGGTTAGGGCCTGCTAGCTGCCCCTGGGAGACTCCCCCCCCCCTTAGAGAAGAGCAGGATAAAAGCACTGCTTTACATAATAGCAGTGATACTAATAAATCAGACAAATTCATGGATGAGGGTGGCAAGTGATCGTGGCATTTTCAGTTGTTTTAATCGCAAATCACCTTGAGACTGATCAGGATCTATCTATAGGCTTAATTGACGCTTTCAAAGAATTATTAATAGATTCCCAAAATAGACTTACCCTTGGAGAAGCTATTCTGGTTTTGCTGGGTAATTTTATGTTCAACAGTGCTTTCCACCAGTGAGCCCAGAATGGAAATTTAACTAACTGGCCTGTCATTTCCAGGATCCCCTACCTTGTTTGTTTTTGGTTGTTGTTTTTTAAGCATACTTGATTCAGGTGGGGATCAGCAGCCTCTGCTTTACACAAGCAATATGTAGGGATTCCTAGGGATTCTCTTTTACCAAGACCACCCCATTAAATAAGGAGGGGCATGCACAAGGAGGCTTCTGGTTCAGCTGTTATGTGGTGCTTTCTGACCCCCTTCTCTTGCCTTGTGGGGACATGAAATTGTATCAGACTCTGCCGGCTTCTTCTCTTCCCCTAACCTTCTGCCATTGGGAGAGGAGAAATTTGGCTTGTGTTGGGAATGCCTGGTGAGGAAGCAGGAGACCTCCTTGATGCTTGCACCTGTTTTTCTTTGATTGCCTAACATGCATTTCTTTTTCCAATTTCAGCTCATAACGGTGGGTGAGCAACTGCTGGCACAATGGGGCATGAACTGACAGCACAGGAGAAGTATCACTTGATCACCCGAAATTTGCAGGTACTTTGGTAGGAATGGTTGAAAATGAGGCTTTTAAAAAAATATTCCGCATATAGATGCAAAAGTAGTTTGAATAAGCATCAAAGGTTTGCCCCACTCTGTTCTCCAAAATAAGTTTTTTATTACACCCCCCCAATTATTTTCTTTTGTTATAAATACACTTAAGGATTGGGAACATTTGCTTCCTGAAATAAGCCTTCTTCCACCCCAAATTATTCACACTGGGAGCCTCTCTCCTATGAGATGCCCTAGCCTCGTATCTGGATGGAATTTCTCTGGGCAGAGAATTAGAAATTTCAAAACTTGAGTGCAGTTTGTGTGAAAACAAAGCTTTGGGCTGGGCACAACACTAAGATTTCTAGGGGACAATCTTCTGGTGCTTGGTGCCTCCCCATTGGCACGCTAGGCATATACAAATACAAAGCTACATCTGAGTTACTACAAATTAGGAATTCTGACAGCTGGGTGGGTTGGAGGACTTTTTGCTGTTGATAAAGGAGTCTGAATCCCATAGCATATCATCCAGCCATCTTTGAGTAGATCTTGATCTGCCACAGTACCTTATTCCTAATCTGGATTTTTTACATTGTACCTTGTTGACTCAGATGTCTGGTAACTAAGGCTGAGCAATATCTGGTTTTCAACATCATGATATATCACTAGCTAAACATTGCAATATACTGATATATCACGATTTCTGAAATAAGGATGGAGCCATTTAGAGGCATTGGTTGGCTTCATGGCCCAGCTTGTCCGGAGTTTTGGGCTGGGTTGCCATCAGTATGCCAATGACACCCAACTCTATCTGTTGATGGATGGCCATCCTGACTCGGCCCCAGACACACTGACCAGATGTTTGGAAGCTGTGGCTGGATGGTTACGTGGGAGCCGGTTGAAGCTAAATCCTTCGAAGACAGAGGTCCTGTGGCTGGGACGGGGCGATATGGGATTGGGGGGCAACTCCCATCTCTTGCGGGGGCGCAATTAGTGCCAGCAGCGTCCGTTAAGAGTTTGGGTGTAATCTTCGACACCTCCCTTTCCATGGAGGCGCAGATTGCAGCTATAACAAAGGCGGCATTTTTCCATCTCCGCCAAGCTAAGCAGTTGGCTCCTTACCTCTCTCGCCCTGACCTAGCCACTGTGATCCATGCGACGGTCACCTCCAGACTGGATTATTGTAACTCGCTCTACGTGGGGCTGCCCTTGAGACTGACCCAGAAACTCCAGCGGGTGCAGAATGCTGCAGCGAGACTCCTTACGAGGTCTTCGCTGCAAGATCACATTCACCCGGTGCTATACCAGCTGCACTGGCTCCCGGTGGAGTACAGGATCAGGTTTAAGGTGCTGGTTTTAACCTTTAAAGCCCTATACGGCCTAGGACCCTCGTACCTACGGGACCGCCTCTCCTGGTATGCACCACAGAGAAACTTACGGTCTTCAAATAAAAAATCTTGAAGGTCCCAGGCCACAGAGAAGTTAGGCTGGCCTCAACTAGAGCCAGGGCTTTTTCGGCTGTGGCTCCAATCTGGTGGAACACTCTGTCACAAGAGACCAGGGCCCTGCGGGACTTGACATCTTTCCGCAGGGCCTGCAAGACAGAGCTGTTCCACCAGGCGTTTGGCCAGGGCACAGCCTGACTCCCTCCCTCGGCAATCTTCGCGGAGCTCTGGCCCAATGGTTGCCAGTGGCTTGATTTGAATTAATTTTATAATGAATGATTTTAGAATGTTGTTGTTGTTTTTTAAAGATATTTATTAAAGTTTCAAAAGTTATACAAAAAGAAAAACAATAATACAAACAAAACACAAACAAAACAAGTATAATTTCAGTCCCTTATTTTCTTATAACTTACTTCCCCGACCTCCTCATACCTCCCCTTTCTGTATTCCAATTTCTAATTTATTAGTTCAGCGAATCCTCTCCCTTAATTTTTGTTTAATTTTTGACGTTTCTTTTCTTATTACATAATCATTACAGCTGAAAACCACTTAGTTTCTAAAATCAGCATCGTTCTAACATTCATTAATTTTGCAATGTTTCCTGAGATAGTCTTTAAATTTCTTCCAATCTTCTTCGATTTTAGAATGTTGTTTATGCTGTACTTTTGTACTGTTTTATTGTTGTTAGCCGCCCTGAGCCCGGCTTCAGCTGGGGAGGGCGGGATATAAATAAAATTTATTATTATTATTATTATTATTCTCCCACATTGTGATTTTTTGCATAGCACACACATCATGATTCATGATATATTGTCAGATCAAAAATTATGAAACCGATACCACGATATGGACTTCAAACCAGTTTTGGACAATATATTGATATATACCCAGCCCTACTGGTAACCTGAAAGTTCTGGATGATTCCTAGGTCCCATGTACAAATAAGGTTTTCCAGCAAATCACAGAAGTGCTTGTCTGCGGTAGAAGAACTGGGTTATTAATATCTTACTCCAGTCTTTGCAACATGTATGGTAATGAGGATTAGAAACCAGATGTCTTAACTGTTTCCTGTGGTTGTGGAGCTGGGTTGCTGTTTGACCTTGGTTTATTGCTTTTTCACTTGGGTTTGCCACTTGTGATGGTATCTCATGAGGTTTTAATGTGTTAGCAATAGGGCTTTCCCTACAATTTGCACTGCTACATGTCTGCATTAAAAGAAAGAGAGGAATGCAGAACAGGTAATGTGAAAACCCTGTCATTTTGTTAGGATCATCTGTAGAAGCAAGCTGTTGAGTCACACAAGACTCACTTTGTGACTAACCCTAACCATACCTGCAAACTTTCCTCTACTATAATGGATGACTCCCATATTTAAATCACTCATTGCCCAGAGCAATGCACCTGCCTCTCCTAAGAGCAAGTGATTGAATGACTGTGATACGCCCAATTCAGTGTTGGGTGCAGGATTATCTGTCCTCAGTGGAGGCTTATTGGAAGAGAATAAGCCATGCCTGCTCTATTAGTGGATCCTTTGGGCTCGCAAGAGACTTGTTTCACGCTCTGCACTTTGAGAATTGCTGATCTAGTGCTTTACCTATTGTTCAATATGATTTTATAGTTTTCTACTGTGGGTGTTATATTGATGTTTTGAGTTATTCTTGTTTTAATATATATCATTTATTATATTTTGTAAACCACCCTAGAATCTGATAATAAAAGGTGGCATATAAATGTTTTAAATAAAAATATATCCCCTTGCATCGCAGGGTTTTGGCTTCCCTAGCTCTCCCTTCTCGCTTGCTTCTTGCTTTTCCAGCTGAGATGCTGAACACATCTCTCTTTTGCTTGCAGGAAGTTCTCGGAGAGGATAAGCTGAAGGCCATCTTGAAAGAACGGGAGGTGAAGATATACTGGGGGACAGCAACGACGGGCAAGCCTCATATAGCCTATTTTGTACCCATGACCAAAATAGCGGACTTCCTCAAGGCTGGATGTGAGGTGAGACTGGGCTCTGCTTTACATTTGGTCTGTTGGCTGCTTTCAAGTAGCAATGGGGCAGTCATCCTAGTGGGGAGGATCTGCTGCCTTTCAAAGACCTCTGGAAGGCATTTTTTCCCTGAACGCCATTC